TCCCTTTTTTCCGGAACTATAATGTTTGAAGCTGTTTTTTTTGCACGTTGGGGACGCTCCCAAAAATATAGTTCCTTTTTTTCCGGAACTATAATTTTGGAAGCTGTGCTTTTTCAGGTTTGAGGCCCCTCCAAAAATATAGTTCCTTTTTTTCCGGAACTATAATTTTTGAAGCTGTTTTTTCTCAGGTGTGGGTGCCCTCCCAAAAATATAGTTTCTTTTTTTCTGGAACTATAATTTTTGAAGCTGTGTATTTTCACGTTTGAGGGCCCTCCCAAAAATATAGTTCCTTTTGTTTGGAAACTATGTTTGTCCAAAGTTGTTGATGTTGCGCTGCTAGCTTTGGATTTTTCAAGTTGGGAAGTCAGTGCCCCGAAAAAAGTTGGTATATTGAAAAATTATTGGCTCAAAAGGATTCAAAGCGAGGAAAGAAAAAAACACAAATCCAGGCACCAAAAAAATATAACCCCTGAAAAAAATTATAATCCCTGAAAAAAATAAAGTTCCAGAAAAAAAGGAACTATAATTATAATGCCTTTTTCACCAAAAAATGTACATACTTTTTTTGTTTGCTTTTCCTTTTTTCCATGTAAAAAAACAAAAAAGTATATATACAACCCTTGTTTTCACCCTCGGTATATATACTTTTTTGTTTTTTTTAAATGGAAAAAAGGAAAAACAAACAAAAAAAGTATGTACATTTTTTGGTGAAAAAGGCATTATAATTATAGTTCCTTTTTTTCTGGAACTTTTATTTTTTTTCAGGGATTATAATTTTTTTCAGGGGTTATATTTTTTTGGTGCCTGGATTTGTGTTTTTTTCTTTCCTCACTTTGAATCCTTTTGAGCCAATAATTTTTCAATATACCAACTTTTTTCGGGGCACTGACTTCCCAACTTGAAAAATCCAAAGCTAGCAGCGCAACATCAACAACTTTGGACAAACATAGTTTCCAAACAAAAGGAACTATCTTTTTGGGAGGGCCCTCAAACGTGAAAATACACAGCTTCAAAAATTATAGTTCCGGAAAAAAAGGAGCTATATTTTTGGGAGGGCACCCGAACCTGAGAAGACACAGTTTCAAAAATGCCTCAAAAATAATAGATCCGGAAAAAAAGGAACTATATTTTTGGGAGGGTCCCCAAACCTGAAAAAACACAGCTTGAAAAATTATATTTCCGGAAAAAAAGGAACTATATTTTTGGGAGGGCACCCAAACCTGAAGAAACACAGCTTCAAAAATTAAAGTTCCGGAAAAAAAGGAACTATATTTTTGGAAGCGTCCCCAACGTGCAAAAAAAAACAGCTTCAAACATTATAGTTCCGGAAAAAAGGGAACTATATTTCTGGGCGGGCCCCCAAACCTGAGAAAACACAGCTTCAAAAATTATAGTTCCGGAAAAAAAGGAACTATATTTTTGGGAGGGCCCCCAAACCTGAGAAAACACAGCTTTAAAAATTATAGTTCCGGAAAAAAAGGAACTATATTTTTGGGAGGGCCCCCAAACCTGAGAAAACACAGCTTCAAAAATTATAGTTCCGGAAAAAAAGGAACTATATTTTTGGGAGGGCCCTCAAACCTGAAAAAAACACAGCTTCCAGAATTATAGTTCCGGAAAAAAAAGAACTATATTTTTGGGATGGCCACCAAACCTGAAAGAAAGGAACTATATTTTTGGGAGCGTCCTAAACGTGCAAAAAAGCAGCTTCAAAAATTATAATAGTTCCAAAAAAAGGGAAAAACATTTTAGGAAGGCTCCGAAACTTTTGAAAAGGGCAGCCCCAAAGATTATAGTTCCGAGAAATCAGTATGTTTGTTGGGAAGGCTCCCAAAGCAGGAAAAGCGCAGCCTCACAAATCATAGGTCCAGATAAGGGAACTATATTTGTTTGAAGACACAAATTATGTTTCCAAGAAAAAGGAACTATATTTTTTGAAGGCACCTAAACTAGGTGATACGAGTAGCATGGTTCACAGGATTATAGTTCCAAAAAAAAACGATATCTTTTTGAGGGCCCCATAACAAATCAAAGTTTAGCCCTTCACTTGTGAGTCCGAGAGAAAGGACATCTGTGTTTGATTTGTGTGGCAGGCCCAAACCCAAGGGAGAATTCAAAATGATGAACTATACTGGCTGCGCAGGCAATCACATTGGAGTGCCCAAAGGCCTTTTTGAAAGTATTTTCTCTAGTAGCTTGGGGCATTCACTTGGGCCCGGGAGTGAAAAGAATATATACGTACTGTACTTATACCTCCTTTTGAATGTGCTGTGTTATGCCCAAGGAAAGCAAGCCCCATCAAACTTCTACCGCAGAAGAAACAGTTTAAAGTCGTTTCCATGGAAGATATTGCATCGACAACTAATTTCACTAAAAGATGTTTGGGGCCAAGTTTTCTTTGTTCGGGCATGTGTGCCCTTGTGCCCTCGATTTGGAGTTTGGACGTGGAACGGGTCCAGCGTAGTTTTCTGGTTACCACTTCCTTGTTTCTTCCCAATTCGAATTTCCAAATCAAATTTGTTGGCATGCGCTCTGAAAGAAATTGATGAAACTAGTTTTGAAGTCTGTTGGTATCACCTCCAGAAATTATCTCCTGTCAAACACTTGGCATAAGCGTTACCGAGGAGTGACCAGCTCACACAATAGCTGTCACAATTTGGGTGTGCTCCTGGCTGGCTGCATGTAATGTATTGGCATCAGGTGGCATGGTAAGGTTTATGTCATACTTTTTCATCATCATCATCATCATCATCACCATCATCATCATCATCATCATCATCATCACCCAAACAAGCTGTAAGGGGACAAGGTTCTTTCTGTCCTGCATTCAGACACAGATACCTCAATAGAATTGCAACACCAAAAGAATCATGGTTTATACTCATGCCGCAAGTTCTTGAACACACCGTCACTTTTGGACTGAGCTATGTGAAATTTGCCCAAATGGAATGTGGGGAGACGCAGATCAAAAATGCGAAAGTTGACAAAAACACAACGCCTCACAACATGCACAGCTCGAAAGCCGACTCTGGCCTCGCATACATTCCAAAATTTGAAAGCTTTTGAGAAGTCAACTATGCTTTGGTACACGCCGCGGCGAGACTACGGTTCCCAAAAAGAAGAAAGTCTATCTGAAGGGCCCACAGGAGAAAGGGTCCAGGAAGGGAATAAGATTCTTATTGGGGCCCTCTACAGCGCGCAGACATCATACCAACCGTCCTGTCCGGATCAGTTGTTCGACCAATTTTGCAAGATACCACTATTTGCTTGTTTTGGACATAGCTCCACCTACCCAGGAAATATAACGCTTTTTAAATATTTTCTCAGTTTAAAAAACATGAATTATGAAATTTAGCAGTTCTAAGTGTGTTCTAAGTGTGTTCTAAGTGTGTTCTAAGTGTGTTCTAAGTGTGTTCTAAGTGTGTTCTAAGTGTGTTCTAAGTGTGTTCTAAGTGTGCTCTAAGTGTGTTCTAAGAGTGTTCTAAGTGTGTTCTAAGTGTGTTCTAAGTGTGTTCTAAGTGTGTTCTAAGTGTGTGTGTGTGTGTGTTCTAAGTGTGCGTGTGTGTTCTAAGTGTGTGTGTGTTCTAAGTGTGTGTGTGTTCTAAGTGTGTGTGTGTATGTGTTCTAAGTGTGTGTGTATGTGTTCTAAGTGTGTTCTAAGTGTGTTCTAAGTGTGTGTGTGTGTTCTAAGTGTGTGTGTGTGTGTTCTAAGTGTGTGTGTGTGTGTTCTAAGTGTGTGCTAAGTGTGTTCTAAGTGTGTGTGTGTGTGTGTGTTCTAAGTGTGTTCTATGTGTGTTCTAAGTGTGTGTGTGTGTGTTCTAAGTGTGTGTGTGTGTGTTCTAAGTGTGTGTGCGTGTGTTCTAAGTGTGTGTGTGTGTTCTAAGTGTGTGTGTGTGTGTTCTAAGTGTGTGTGTCTGTGTGTGTGTGTTCTATGTGTGTGTGTGTCTGTGTGTGTGTGTCTGTGTGTGTGTGTGTCTGTGTGTGTGTGTGTCTGTGTGTCTGTGTGTGTTTGTGTGTTTGTGTGTGTGTACAGTATACAGTATACATTATATATACATTATACATTTTGAATGGATACAAGTAGTACCTGCTTGGAAGATGCTTTGCCAGGCTGGGTACCATGCAGCTAATCTCCCCCAGCCGGCCGAGGCGCTAGCTGTTGCGCCACGGGCTAGGAGCAATGTCGCAACATGTCGCAATAATTCAATACACAATAATAATCGTAACATATCGCAACCACAAGAGAGATCAGAAAACCACTGAGAGCCACGGAAACTCTGCAGGTTCGTTTGCACAGGCAGGTCTTGGCAGGAGGCAAGGCGCACACACACAAACGTATCAATTTTTAGATGGGAGATCAGAGGAGTTCTTTCAGTGTCTCTCATGGCACTGTGCAGGGCTTAATGACTGAGGACAACCAAGAGCCTTGGCTGAAGTTCAAAAAATGATAAGTGAACATAAGTGATAAAATCTTGAACTATATTTTATAATTTCATATAATTTCTAAATGTTTGTCCGTGCGTGTGTATGTGTGTACCGTATAAGTATGCTATAGGCTATACATGTATTTGCACGCGCATCGATAGATGCCAATGCGTGGTAGTGCGTATGGCGAGGCATCAGGAATTGAAGTCTGAAGGCCTTCCCCCAAAGAGCCTGGCATGTTTTAGCGATGAAAACCGGACGCTTTACTCCTTGAAGTCCTGCATCGATCAGCACTCCCGGTGCCAAAAGACATGTAATAGACCATTATAGACCATTGATGACGGCATTTGCAACTCACGAGTTTGAAACGGAAAGACCAAACATTCTGTATTTGAGGCCCCTGACCGTTCAGAGTAGCTGGACCGTTCTCAAGCATAAATCAACATCAATCACTTTCCATCATTAGCATTTACACAAGGGAAGGAGCGCATGTCAGAGTTCCAATCACTGGTGTGTGAAACAAATTGCCGAGTTTCCACATGCCACCTCGAGACACGACCAAGGATGAAAAGGCTATGTCCCCTACCTCGAACACGGTTGAGCTAGAAATTACGATCCCAGAAGGTTCAAACCCTGGAGATATTCTGAGCGTGGAGGTGAATGGCGAGATGCTGGAAGCACCTTGGGCATCACCGACACGGAAAAGAATGTGTCGAAATCATTTAAAAATCGGCTTCTTGTTTCATTCGCACTAATTACAAGAGACTGCTTGTCGTTGCTTCTTTCTCGGGACAGCTACTTCCACCATTTTCATACATTTTCCACCTCGTAGCCGATTGAAAGTGCAAGGACCATGTAAGGACCATGTGACCATATGAGGGCTGTCACAACATGCTACAGCATGCTACAGCTATTTGAGCTATCTACGGCAATTTATGGCAATTGGCAATATGGCTTCCAGAAAGACACTGAAATGATCTGAAATGTGAAGTTTAAAATATTAACTTTGGAGTTATGTGTTTTCTCCTGGTCATGTGAATATCACTTTTCTGCAGAGTTTTTACTTCAAATCGAAAGGTAGAATCAACTTCAGAGTTTATACTTTGTGCATGTCTTTTCAAATTTTGGGCAATTAACTCTGAAGTTAAATGTGTCCGTGCGCTTTCTTTGATGGAATCAGTCATCTCCAAATTAAATATGGTCACTGAAGCGGTTGTTTTTCACTGTACTTTGGAGTTTACACCCCCGAAATCCAACGTGGAACTGCATGCTACTCCTGAGGTCTCCTAACATGAACCTATGGTACGGTCTCAAGTGGATTTTGTTCCCCAAGAAATCACGCAACTAATTTTTTCAATAAAATCACTCAAAAAATTGGCATGGAACCCAACAAACTGGACCCAAACTGCACCCTGAAACAGCCAATCTGGAATTTGAACAAGTTATCACAAAGCGATCTGCAAACTTGAAAGGTGATTTGCAGGTTAACCTGGAACCCAAGTGGTTTTTAAGGCGTTCTCCTTGAAAATTCCATGTTAGTGACTTTCGGCCGAACCAATTTTCACTTCGTGTTGCGCTCACATTTTGAAAACTATTCAGGTTCCAGGTCTGTGGTGGGGAAAGAACTGAAACCAAAACACCTCCAAGAAAAGATCGTGGCTTATTTTTCGATATGTGTTGGGTTCCGTGTTCGTCGCACAACCTTCCAAAGTAAGCCGCAACAGGCAGAAAACCTGGCAGCAAAGAGAGAAAAAGCAAGCGACATGAAAGGATAACAAATATCAGCAAACTAAGAAAGAGATGGAAAGAGCAACAAGGAGCAAAAGAAAGACAAACGTGACAATTTTATGGTGAATTTGCTGGAGCTGGCGCCCCCAAAAGTTAAACTCGTTGGGTTCCATGTTGGCTTCCGTTGGGTTCGACGACCACACCCGGGGGACGGGGAGACAAAATGTGGCCACCAGTCCAGATTCAGCCCAAAAACGTCCAAATGGCACATTTTCTCCTTCACCAAGTGTAAAGGAAAACTAGGATCCCTAAGTCCATTGAAATCCCGGATTGTTTTTTACTTGTTGATTTTTCTGCTGTTCCCTTCCCCCAACGAAATGTCCATACAGGTTCCAAGTTAGTTTTCGGGCTCCTGGAGTCCACGGTATGCAAAAAAACACCAGTCCAGATTCAACCCAAGCATGCTGGGGAAACATTCACCAAATGCAACTAGACCTAAGAAAAACTGGGGCTGAGTGGCGCAACATGCTCCAAAATATGCTTCCCCATCCCACCCCAGGGGAGAGGGATTCCTTTTTAATGTGTTTTTTATTCCCGAGAGCGTCTGAGCGCAGGGTTCTTCCAATAGTGGGGGTCTGTAAAACATCTTCTCATCTTCACATCTCATCTTCACATCCTCTCATCTTCACATCTGCTCATCTTCACATCCTCTCATCTTCACATCCTCTCATCTTCACATCTGCTCATCTTCACACCTTCCCATCTTCACATCTGCTCATCTTCACACCTTCCCATCACATCTGCTCATCTTCACATCTGCTCATCTTCACATCTGCTCATCTTCACATCTTCTTATCTTCACATCTTCTCATCTTCACATCTGCTCATCTTCACATCTGCTCATCTTCACATCTGCTCATCTTCACATCTTCTCATCTTCACATCTGTTCATCTTCACATCTGCTCATCTTCACATCTGCTCATCTTCACATCTTCTTATCTTCACACCTGCTCATCTTCACATCTGCTCATCTTCACATCTGCTCATCTTCACATCCTTCCCATTCACATCTGCTCATCTTCACATCTGCTCATCTTCACATCTGCTCATCTTCACATCTTCTTATCTTCACACCTCATCTTCACATCTGCTCATCTTCACATCTGCTCATCTTCACATCTGCTCATCTTCACATCTTCTCATCTTCACATCTGCTCATCTTCACATCTGCTCATCTTCACATCTGCTCATGTTCACATCTGCTCATCTTCACATCTGCTCATCTTCACACCTGCTCACCTTCTCTCTCATGCCTTCTTTTTATCTTTCTCTCTTAAGGCCGAGGGTGGTGCCGGCGGCGAGTCACGAAACGTCAACCCTTTCGCACGAAATGAGGGTCGATCGGCAAAAACTGAGGTAAAACTGCGATTTGACTTGTCCTGGAGCAACCCTTTCGCACGAAATGAGGGTCGATCGGCAAAAACTGAGGTAAAATTGCGATTTTACTTGTGCCGGAGCAACCCTTTCGCACGAAATGAGGGTCGATCGGCAAAAACTGAGGTAAAACTGCGATTTGACTTGTCCTGGAGCAACCCTTTCGCACGAAATGAGGGTCGATCGGCAAAAACTGAGGTAAAACTGCGATTTGACTTGTCCTGGAGCAACCCTTTCGCACGAAATGAAGGTCGATCGGCAAAAACTGAGGGAAAATTGCGATTTGACTTGTCCCGGAGCAACCCTTTCGCGCGAAATGAGGGTCGATCGGCAAAAACTGAGGTAAAATTGCGATTTTACTTGTGCCGGACTTGTCTGTGTGTAAAAGCGCCTGTGTGTAAAAAGCGTCTGTGTGTAAAAGTGTCTGTGTGTAAAAGCGTCTGTGTGTAAAAGCGTCTGTGTGTAAAAGTGTCTGTGTGTAAAAGCGTCTGTGTGTAAAAGCTTCTGTGTGTAAAAGCCCCTGTGTGTAGAAAGCGTCTGTGTGTAAAAGCGTCTGTGTGTAAAAGGGTCTGTGTGTAAAAGCGTCTGTGTGTAAAAGCTTCTGTGTGTAAAAGCCCCTCTGTGTAGAAAGAGTTTGTGTGTAAAAGCGTCTGTGTGTAGAAGCGTCTGTGTGTAAAAGTGTCTGTGTGTAAAAGAGCCTGTGTGTAAAAGTCTCTGCGGGTAAAAGCCTCTGTGTGTAAAAGCGTCTGTGTGTAAAAGCGTCTGTGTGTAAAAGCGTCTGTGTGTAAAAGTCTCTGTGTGTAAAAGCGTCTCTGTGTGTAAAGTCTCTGTGTGTAAAAGCGTCTGTGTGTAAAAGCGTCTGTGTGTCTGTGTGTAAAAGCGTCTGTGTGTAAAAGTGTTTGTGTGTAAAAGTGTTTGTGTAAAAGTCTCTGTGTGTAAAAGCGTCTGTGTGTAAAAGTCTCTGCGGGTAAAAGCCTCTGTGTGTAAAAGCGTCTGTGTGTAAAAGCGTCTGTGTGTAAAAGCGTGTGTGTGTAAAAGCGTTTGTGTGTAAAAGCGTCTCTGTGTGTAAAAGTCTCTGTGTGTAAAAGCGTCTGTCTGTAAAAGCGTCTGTGTGTCTGTGTGTAAAGCGTCTGTGTGTAAAAGTCTCTGTGTGTAAAAGCGTCTGTGTGTAAAAGTCTCTGCGGGTAAAAGCCTCTGTGTGTAAAAGCGTCTGTGTGTAAAAGCGTCTGTGTGTAAAAGCGTCTGTGTGTAAAAGTGTTTGTGTGTAAAAGCCTCTGTGTGTAAATGTGTTTGTGTGTCAAATGTGTCTGTGTGTAAAAAGCGTCTGTGTGTAAAAAGCGTCTGTGTGTAAAAGTGTCTGTGTGTAAAAGCGTCTGTGTGTAAAAGTCTCTGTGTGTAAAAGCGTCTGTGTGTAAAAGTCTCTGTGTGTAAAAGCGTCTGTGTGTAAAAGTCTCTGCGGGTAAAAGCCTCTGTGTGTAAAAGTCTCTGTGTGTAAAAGAGCCTGTGTGTAAAAAGCGTCTGTGCGTAAAAGCGTCTGCGTGTGAAAGTGTTTGTGTAAAAAGCGTCTGTGTGTAAAAGCGTCTGTGTGTAAAAGCGTCTGTGTGTAAAAGCGTCTGTGTGTAAAAGGGTCTGTGTGTAAAAGCGTCTGTGTGTAAAAACGTGTGTGTAAAAGCGCCTGCGTGTAAAAAGCGTCTGTGTGTAAAAGCGTCTGTGTGTAAAAGCTGTGTGTAAAAGCGTCTGTGTGTAAAAGCGTCTGTGTGTAAAAGCGTCTGTGTGTAAAAGCTTCTGTGTGTAAAAGCGTCTGTGTGTAAAAGAGCCTGTGTGTAAAAAGCGTGTCTCCATACTAACAACAGAAGACTCTGCTCCTCTACGCTCTCGGGCCATCCGTCGTCTAGTTTTTGTTGGTGCCATGCCTTCTGCCAATAAAATGGAGACATGGGTGGGGAAGAATGATAAGGATACATAAGGATTGACAAGGTTCTTTCATGATAAGGATCAACTTATGTTTTTCTAGATCGGTTGGCTTCCATGTTGGTTTCCAGCTTGCAGCTTTCAGGGTTTGGAGGAGGTCACCGTGGGAAAGGTACCGTGGGGGTCCATGTTGGTTTCCATGTTGGTTTCCAGCCTTCAGGGTATGGGGGAGGTCACCATGGGAAAAGTACCGTGGGGGCCCATGTTGGTTTCCATGTTGGGCCCATGTTGGTTTCCAGCTTTCCACCATGGGAAAGGTACAGTGGGGGTCCATGTTGGTTTCCATGTTGGGTTCCATGTTGGTTTCCAGCTTTTAGCGTATGGGGGAGGTCACCATGGGAAAGGTACCATGGGGGTCCATGTTGGGTTCCATGTTGGGTTCCATATTGGTTTTCAGTTTTCAGGGTATGGGGGAGGTCAAGGTACCATGGGGGTCCATGTTGGTTTCCATGTTGGGCCCCATGTTGGTTTCCAGCTGTCAAGGCATGGGGGAAGTCACCATGGGAAAGGTACCGTGGGGGTCCATGTTGGTTTCCATGTTGG